CTCTCAGAATGCAACAAAATCAAAATGACCTGGAAAATATCTTAGAAATAATTAATAGTGCAAACTAAAACTCGTTGCCTGAATTGTTCCTCGTACACTATGAATCGACTTGTTTCAGTAAGATGGTACAAATTAGTTTCTTTTTACATTTAATTTTAATAAACTTAGCACAGGTTTCGGAAAAGATATTAGTAATATTTAACTGGAGTCTATTTCAGCGATGTGATTATTCTAGTTTTCTTTGACGCTTCAGTATTTGTAAGACTGAATAGTGTTCACACTGCAATCCTGTGTGCATGCATCGTTAGATATGAAAACAACACTAGGTTGAGTGAAATACAGAAACCGATTGCATAATTTTGCGATACATTACACAGTGATACAACATGATCACCTTCCTATGTTGCCAGTCGGTTAGTGATAATCATGCACTTTATAATGAATGAATTCAAGATACATTTTTCTAAGTTTTAGTGGGACCCAGTAACCTGTGTACTCATTGTTGTGTGGTATACAATCACTGATGATATCAAATAACAATTATGCCATATAGTGAGTCAGGTGAAAGTAAAATTGGGAATCCTTAAATTGTAATTCAGTCGTTTGGTATTGTTGCAAGACCAGAGAGCTTTGGAATTAATGTTTTATGAAGCCGTGATGATGAAAGAAACAGCTGTGATGTATTTCTCAGTTTTCGTCGGTTCTCAATCTAATGGATGTCTATTACTTTGGTCACCTTTGAAGTTTGTATTTTTTAATCATTCGTCTCAAACTGACCTTCCCAATATAGATTGAACCTAACCTTATATTATTGGTGACAATTTATTTTGCTCTATACGTGGTTAACTCTAAGAGTTACGTTCTCCCTGTACAGCATTAAACTGATCCAACTACAAGCAATACTATCTAAATAAATAAATAATAATAATAATTTTATCTTGCCAACTTCAATCATGATTTTAAATAAAAAAATTCTCTGTCATTTATGTTCTCCAATTTAAGAACTCATTGGGTCAAGAGTGTTGATGGAAAAGAGCTTTAAAACTTCTCTGACATGAAAAAAGTTTCATCATACTCAAATTTATATGCTTTCTCGACCTATTTCCATAAAATAATGTGTGCATTTCGTAGGATTCTTTGTTGAGAACAGTTTTTCATAGTTTATGGAAGACATTATAATCAATGTATATAGAGACCGAATGGTCTAAATCATCTGAGTTAGCTTTGATAATTTAGTTGCCATTAATGAAAGACTTGTTACTCAGCAGTCAGTAGAAAGTCCAAAGACAATGGTATATACATAAATCAAATTCTTCAACTCCAAGTTAGCTTCTATTTATTCTATAACAATTTGGCTACTCGATTCTCAGTAAATTTTCTCATAGATTAGAATTAAATCCAAATCGTTTTATAATTGACTACTTGAATACTTTTTACCAATGAATTTTATTAAACAGCCTTAGTCTACTATTAATAAATAAAAATGGCTAAACCTATTTACTCCTGACTAATGATACTATAATTTGAAGACTTTATTATCATATTGAAGCTGAAAATGTTTACAGTTGACTGCATGTTGTGAGTATTCTACGACTTAGAAAATAATTTTAGTTGTATGGTGTTAGGAGATTAATTTAATTTAAAATAGTTCTTGTCATTGACTAACATCGGCTGCACTACAGAGCACCTGGAACCACCGAAAGGTGTTTCGTCTTAGGTTGGAACTATTAGTCGCTTTTCAAATACTACCTGGTACCAGATTAAACACAGAACCTTCATCTGTTATGGTGAGTGTATCACATTTATATTACTATGTTAAAGTCAAAAGGTTCACACTTTCGACTTCAGCCAGTTTGAATTATAACCCAAAAGTCATTGAAACTTGTCGGTGATTAACTGCACTACCTGTTGATTCATGTGAACTCCATTAATTACGACTTCACACTAGGACTTAAGGAGTCCATCTTCACGCTTGTCAATCATGAACATGTGATTATTGTTTAGTCTGTTTGTGGTGCTTGTTTTTATTTGAAAATACTTTTTGTCGGAGTATATATATGTATTTTCCGACCGACAATAAATATTTTTAATCAGAGAGAGGTTTTGTGGACATTATAATGATTTAACAGTTGAATTCATGGGTCAGTTGAAGCTAGACCATCATAGGAAACCTGGAAGCACTAGATGGCCGTTTCGTTCTATTGTGGGATCCCTCATCAGTGCGCATCTATGATCCCGTTGGATGCCGTCTCAATGGTCTAGAGGTTAAGCGCTCGCGCACGAGATTGATAGGTCCTGGGCTCGAACCCCACAAGATGGGATCGTGGATGCGCACTGCTGAGGAGTCCCACAATAAGACGAGACGGCCGTCCAGTGCTTCTAGGTTTCCCATGGTGGTCTAGGTTCAATCGACTCACGAATTCAACTATTAAATAAATATGTTGTCGAAAAAAGGTTTAACCAACTCACATAAACGACTGAATAATCCAACCTTTCAACTCCTCTTTATCAATTTTTAAATTATTGTCAATATCGATTTTATGGAATAATTTTCCTAATTGTGATTTTGCTTCTTCTGGATCTAATTCTTTAAATTTCTGTGAATATTCATGTGAACCAGTAATTAGATCGTGGTCATATTCACTGTAATGTTGTCCAAAATCATCATAATGTTCATGACCTTGATAATTAGAGTCATCTAACATATGAAGATCAGGTTCATCAGGCCGTAAATAGTTATCGAATTTCACATTGATATTTTCAAAATCACTTAAACAGCAGACTATTTGAAGTATACTAATTAGGTAGTTTAGGGATAACATGTTGAACTTTTTTGTTTTGGGCAGTGATAATATGTTGACAACAAAGGCAAAAGACAATTTTAAATAATGTGATATGTGAAATTTAAGGTCAATAATTGGTTGTTTTCTGCCAAATTTATTTCTCTACCTTTAAATATTTTAATAATAATACGGGTACCTTCATTTGAAATTTAAATGTTACGTTTAATTAAACGTATTCTTACTGGATTGGTTAGTAAATACTGTAAAAATGTCATTAATCTATACTTATTGACATTAGAAACAGTTGTTAAGCAAATAATTTCATTTTCTCGTTGTATTATCCAGGTTCCGAGTGTTCAATTGTTATTGAACTGAGGTAATTCACATTTTGTAGCTTCCCAGTGGAACAGTGAAGCAACAACTAGTTCGCTTTTCTGTAACGAATCAAGAAGATTGCATTATTATTGAGATCAGTTTCATATAGGCGACTGTCTAGTGGTTTTAACTGCATACTTTTCGACAGACATTTTGTCCACTGAATGCCGTGTAAGGTAGAATTCTTTAATTTCACGGATGCCCACAAGGACTTTTAAGATCAAAGATAATTTGGTAATAATGAAATATATAAATATAATGCCTATAGCTACACAATTCAATTCCCATTTCATGGAAATAAAAATCCTTAATTATAGCTGGATACTATTATTGAAGGTATGCTATATACTTCTATAGATGAAAGTAACTGTTCACGGCTGACTGGTTGCTTACTAGTTAAACCAAATAAATCTCAACGATCAGGTAACAAGTTCAAACTCTAATCCACATAATTCCATTTTAACAGCCAAATTTTATCATCACTCTTCAGACAAGAAATGTGTGGCTCACAACCAGTCATACAAAGAGGGATGTGTTTGCTGAGTTACATATATTCAGTAGTAGTTAGATTGTGTAGAAAACGTTACAGATTATCAAAAAATTCATGATTTAAGATGATCATCACTCAATGTCATTAGTGAGTCTGTTAATAATTTGAATAAAAACCTACAGTTAAGTAACATAAAGTAAAGTGATAAGTGCACATAACAAATATACCAATTTCTCCTTTCAATATTGCTTCCAGAGCTTATTCTTGGAGAAATCAATGCAATAACAAACGACTTATCATACTGAGCATCAGGAAAAGAAAGCAAATAACAACTGGTACTTGAGAAGTTTTCTGTCAATATCACTGAGTAATAGTAATAAAAGAAGACCAAACACCTAACATCTGATAGTAAAGAACTCCTATTTGACCCAAAATATGAAATTATTAGCATTAATACCTAAAGACTCTCAGTATAAATTTTTGAACGAATTAAATCAAAATCCAAAAATGAATCCATGATATTCCTTGACTGATCCGACAAAAGAACAAACGATCCAATAACGTTATTTATATCACGTAAAAATATGAATAAAAAGTTGAAAAACTCTCACTCCATTTATCAACATCCATAAATGTTGATATTCCATTCGGCCAATTCAAAGTAAAAATATTTTCTGCATAATAATGACCAGATGACATGGTAGATGTACTTTTGAATAGGGTTAATTAGTAAAAACAATAACTGCATACATGAACAAAACTTTTATTTAAGAAAAACAGATCTAATGTGGTGTGAGCCACGGATGTAAACAGATATAAGTAGTATGTATCATTACTCGAACGTGAAATGTCTGTGGGCAGAAGGTTAAGAAGATCGAAGAGAATAGAATGAGAACAGAGAGTAATTGGTGTATATATAGTGAAGCATGCACTTGGCTTCGTGCTGGACTGCATCTACCCTGACTTAGTGGTATTTATCCTAGGCCTCAGCGGTTATTATCTGAGAAGTTTTAAAGCTAGAAAAACCAACTAACTAGTGCGTATTCGTTTCTTAGTGATTTTCACGTTGGTGTTAATCCCTGATGCAAGTACTGTCGAACTGTATAGTACTATAGTATAAAAGTCATGATAATTATACAAATATTTTAGATTTTGAAGAAAACACAGTTACAATAGTTGGTTACAAATTTTTTTCTGTAATTAATTGTTTAAAAACGTTCGGTTTTCTCAGCAAGATATCAGTGTTAATTCGCTCGCTTGATTATTATTTTGAAAGCAGGTACAACATATATGGATTGGAACATCTACATGCGCTCATTGATGCACACAGTCGAAAAATAATAGAGGATCAATTACGATTGTTTCTTTGATAAGAAACTTTGAAGTAGTTCTATGGGTAACGGAAATACAATTGTTGAATTTTGTTCTGTTGCGATCGTAGCCAATGTTTGTAAATAACGTAATTGTAAGGCAGTTGGTGATCTAGCCATTTCCTCAGCAGCTTTCCTTAATGTCGACGATGCTTCTAATTCACCTTGTGCTGCTATTACTTTAGCTTTAGAAGCTCTAACAGCTTGCGCTTCTGCCGCCATGGCTCGTTGCATTTCTTGAGGCAATGAAACGTCTTTAATTTCAACTCGTTCCACCTACAGTTGTTAAAAAATTAAGGGACAGTAACAAACAAACTAACGACACATGATGTTAAATGAACAGTTAAAATCTATGGTACCGGAATTCGTGTTACATTTCACACTGACTCATTAGCTATCAAAATTTGATAATCATTATTTAATACTAACTGATCATTTGGCAATAACTAGTGCCATGTTAGTCTAGCCCTTCAACTTGGAATAAATTCTATCGATTGATTTATTTGCAAAGTTTTCACCAGTCTGAATGACCCCATATATATATATATATATTTCAATTTGTATATTTCAATTTGTTTTCATATTTAATAGACCAATTAATTCACGTTAATTCTTTGATCACTAGATTGAACACGGATAAATTTCGTCACGAGTCGCTACCGAATTTCAGCATGATGAGTTTCTTGCTCATACGCTTATGGCACGAAACTGCCTAGGATTATTAATATCAATATAAAAAGTCGATAACTCATTCACGTTATTACCAGAATCATGGTACAAATAACGCACTATTCAACAATAAAACGAACGTTACTATGGCAATCTGAAATTGAGATCAATCAGCCAGATTAGAAAACACATTTTATAAAAACGATCTGATATGGTAATAAAACAGTTGTTGACCTGTTCCTATTTACCTTTTTTTATAGTCTGGTTCATCTGAAAGTGTACAAATGGTAAATAATTCAGTGGCTAGAATTTAATTTCAACAAATAGAAAACTCATTTCCTTCATTATTTAATGGGATTCATTATGCGTTTAAGTGAGTTGTTTCAAGAATTTTGTACAGCTGGTTCTCCTGATAACTTTCACCAGGTGAAGAATAAAACAATAATTGTAGAATTAAAAGGAATCAGTTATTCTATTTAAAGATTAATTGGCGACCGTGAGGAAACTGAAGTCATTCATGCTAACTCCTTTCATAAGATAAATTGGATTGGTATAAAATTTCAATTATTAATGAACGGAACAATAAATAAACAAGCAGTGACTTGGCTTTCTTTTACCTTAATTCCCCATTCACCTGTAGCCTGGTCCAGTAAAACGGCCAGCTTGGAATCAATCTGGTCACGATTTGTCAATAATTGAGATAATTCATATGTTCCCAATACTGAACGCAACGCTGTAACTGCCAGTAGCTCAGCTGATTTGGCTGCATTTTCAACTCGTAATAAAGCGGCAGCTGGTTCAATCACACGCATAAATACAACAGCATCTACACCAACAGTAACTGCATCACTTGTCAATATTTCTTGTGGTGGTATGTTCACAGTCTTTGTACGCAAATCTATTCGAATCATTTGATCTGCACATGGCATGACAAACTGTAATCCTGCACCTAAAACATATTTTCCACCAGATCGTTTCAAACGACCAAAACGTAAAATAATAGCTCTTTCATATGTTTTGACTGTACGAATTGCAAAAAATATTGTTATTGGAAATGTACAAATAAATAGTATAGTTATGAGAATGAACAATATGACACCTCCTGCACCAATACCTTCCTCATCTGGTTCCCAACGTGGCTCACGATTCCTTTCATTTGATTGTTCAATATCCACAATCTCAACAGTTGATAATTCTCTAGATGTCATACAGACTACTTTATAGATACACTTTGGATCCAAAATATCAGTTAGATAGTAAGAACTAAGAATTTTTCTTATGAAATGAAGTTCTACTTCTATTGGATTGGTTGTATGCAACAGCGAATCAAATTTTTTTAATTGAAATAATTTCAGCAAATGAAATTCAAGAAACTGTTAGTGGGGCTTGATTGTCATGACAATACTGTTTATAATATGAATAATGAGTCCACTGGAGGTGAATGTTTTGCAAAACAAAACAAATTTTGTTGATTAGTTTATTAAGTTTTATTTAAAGTCAAACATCTAATACGGCCAATGTTCTAGCACTGGGAAAACGACTTTACTGGCCTGGTATGAATAAAGACGTAACGAAGTGGACAAATTCTTGTGTAAGCTGACAAAACTCTTAAGTGATCAGATGTGGGAAACATCCCTCACGCTCTTTCATAACCCCTGACTTTCTTTTCAACCATGCCCAACTTGATATGGTAGGACATTTAACGTAATTAAGTGAATGCTCTTGTCTCGTGACATGTGCGGACCGTCTCACACAATGACCGCAAGCAGTACCAGTCAAAGATATTACTGTTGAATCAGTGTCCTGTGCCTTGATCAAACGACAGGTAGAAAACTTCGGCTACCCTCCAACCATTACTACAGACTATGAACCCTAGTTTGAATTCGGACTTTTCCACCCTCTTACTAAATTCTTATTAATCACACGGTTCCGAAGAAAAGCCTATCACACACAAGCTAACGGTTTGATAGAACGCTGATACTTGATAGTCTTACTTTCATAAGATTGGAAACGCTGTAAAAGTTGATGCTGGATACACTGCAGTCGATCACATTTACAGCACAATATTCCTACTTCCTGAAGAATTCTTAAACCCTTCATCTTTTTCAATGAATGTGGGTCTAGACTGCTATATAAGCCGGCTTACAAACACAATGGGTTCAGTTAAAGCTGCTCCCACTCAACCAAAATCCACTGATGACTTTTCCAGTCCACCTCACGTTCAGTATACATGTTTTCTAACTTCGTGACCCATTACGTCGACCCCTTCGAAGCTGCATTAGAATGACCCTAGAAAATCCTTTATCGTTAACCTGAATACCGTAAAATTGATATAAATGGCGTTGAATATAACATCAGCATCACACGGCTAAAAGCCATTTAATTGGAAGTCAACACCCTCTCATTCTACTTTCCCGCTTACCAATCGAACGATACAATCCCAAAAATTACTATGTGATCGTGGAAAGGTAATGGAACATCCATTCATAATTCAATAAAATTACTTATAACAATTGCCCTGACAACACCTCTCTTATCGCATGTTATGTTCACACGACGTTTTCTTTATTATTATTAATATTACTATTAATATCATTGGTAGTGGTATCATTATTAATAACTCCATTAACCAAATTAAATTCTCCTACTATGCATTTTTCTCGTATCATTCATTTAATTATTAGATTGATTATAATTTGACACCTTACACCGAATCACTTCAACCTTTTGTGAATAATCATCCCAGTTTACAAATGACAAATTTTTGAAGCATTCGTCCAAAAACAAATGCAAAAAGTCATCATTTTTGACGTAACATTTTATGGTTCACTAGGATGCTCTACTTAGGCCCTTGCAATACAAGGATTATGAACTTGTAACTGTAGAGTAATAGTCGCAGTAGTAGTGGTAGTTGTTGTAACAATATTAGCATTGTTAGTTTTGATTATTACAGTTGTGTTAGTATTAGTGAGAGCACCAACAGTAGTAGTACTAGTATTAGTGGTGGTAGCAGTTGTTTCTTTGGTTGATGTATCAGTATTCGTGGTGTGGGTAGTAGTGATATTAGCAGTAGTATTGTGGTGTGTGCTACTGATGTAGACAGGTATAAGTAGTATGTATTCTCGATCGAAAGTGAAATGTCTGCTGGTAGAAGGTTAAGAGGATCGAGGAGAAGAAAAAGAGAACAGAAAGTGGTTGGTGTGGAAACGAAGAAACAATGAAGTGTGAGACAATTGATGGTTGTTTTACAAATGAAGAATTTACTGTACGGTTGTCCGATTTTACTAAGAGGTTCTGTGATTTTGTATTCAAATACATTTGCTTGTCCCCGCCTGTGTCCTCGCTCACTTCAGTATTAGTAATGGTCTAAATGTAACCAATATGTAAAGGTTCACTTGATATTGTTTTTGTTTTTCATTTGTTTGAATCTTCCCATTGATGTTTAGGACTGAAATTGTTCAGTCTCTTATTGGCATATGTGCATACTGTGCGTATGCCTCGATATTGCCTTAATTTACAAGCATTATAAGCAAAGGTGGATAGTGGCTAGCAGTGGAATCCAGGACGCGCGTTTCGTCCTATTTGGGACTCGTCAGGTGGATGTACCTGCATCTCAGAGTTGATGTTCACTCTGGGACTCGAACCCAGTACCGTCCGCTTCAAACGCCATCGCGTTATCCACTTAGCTACTGAGTCCTGATAGCTACTTGCTTGTGTAATAAGAGACTGAACAATTTCAGTCCTAAACATCAATGGGAAGATTCAAACAAATGAAAAACAAAAACAATATCAAGTGAATTAAACTTCACCCCATTGCACAAGCAAGTGGCTATCAGGACTCAGTAGCTAAGTGGATAACGCGATGGCGTTTGAAGCGGACGGTACTGGGTTCGAGTCCCAGAGTGAACATCAACTCTGAGATGCAGGTACATCCAGCTGACGAGTCCCAAATAGGACGAGACGCGCGTCAAACTGGAGTCCACTGCTAGCCACTATCCACCTTTGCTTACAATATGTAAAAGGTCTTTGTGCACTTTGTGTTATTATAAAGCATCTTCATAACACAAATACATGGGTTTCACAATCCTTTTTCATTTTGTGTTGTGTTTGGAGATTCCAACTTGATTTTCGACTGGTCTCTTCGGAAATTCCTCTCACTATCAAAGGTCAATGACAACTTTTGAAGTCACGTTCCATTTATTACTATTTATAAGCAATATTATGAGTAGTGTTCACTACAGTAGTGGTGGTATTTTTAGTATTAGTGGTGGTAGTGTCATGTATGCTACTTATGTTGGTGGATATAGGTAGTATGTAGTCCAATCCAAAAGTGGAATACCTGGCAGCAGAAGATTGAGAAGATCGAGTTGAAGAAAACAGAAATGCGAACAAGGAGTGATGAAGGTTGTAAGAGACAACTGATGGAAGATGTACAAATGAAGTATTTAATATACGGTTTTCATATTCTACAAAGACATTGTAATTTTGCATTCAAAAATAAATTGGTTATCTGCACCATGTCTTCGTTCACTACAGTAGTAGCGGTGGTAGTGTGATTAGTTTTAACAGTACAAAATTGATAAAAAAAGAGATTTGTTTGAAATAAGTGATCATTCAATAATTATCAAGGATATCAATTGCATAAACAGTGAATACACACAGTGCATAAATTCGTGTGTCCAATGCAAATGTACATATATGGGCATGAGTGTTCAGATGTGTGTCGTAACATAAATAACAGGTACAATATTGAAAGAAAATTTATTTAGCTACAAAATTTATCACATGACAAAATGAATTTCATGATCTTTGCGGAATCCATGTGATTATTATATAAATCCTCCAACTTTCAAGTAGATAAAGGTTAACAAGAAATTATTAAAATGAATGCGTTTTACGGTTTAATTATTCGTTTGTTTATTTGTTTGTTTGTTCACCTGAATATTGTCTTTTGGAAATGTTGATTGTTTGCTATTTTAAAGAAAAATAACAAATGAAATTGGGAATGTGAATCATTAGATGTGAACTCAGTAGTAATCTAATTGTAGGTATATATACGACTGTTTTTTGACGCAGATAACAACATGTAGGCTGAGATCACCAGTTTTGGTACAAACGACTTCCTCCGATAGCATATCTTGTTTGCAATTTCTCACCTATTATTTAACCCTGATAAGTCAAGTGAGCATGGAAGAGTGATAGGTTTGCATTCACGCAATCTATTAAAGTACTTTACTTGATCCGAGGTTTTGGAAATGCTGAATTTAATACTCGGTAGAAATGCAAGTGCCTACTTCTCAAAATCACTATGTTAAAATGAAATGCATGTTATATTCATGTTAGCTTATCTCTATTTAATAAGAGTTTGTTTCCACGTGACAGTTACAAATCACGAATTTCGTTAAATAATTAAAACACATGGAAATTGAACTATATATTTCTAATGATCATGAGTGAGTGGTTGATTTCTATGTAAATGTGGATATGGTATTTAGAGTTAGATAGCAAAATGGGTTACAACAAATTTCCAAGGTTCAAGCTGACAGTTAATTATTGATAAATTTCATTTCATTTGATTCGATTTGTACTAGAATGACAAAAAAACGTTGAAATAACTTTGTTAATGAATTATATTTAATTGTTCATCTATCAGTTGTCTGAGATCACGTTGTTGAAAGTTGTTTAACATGGATCAATATTAATCGCGTGTAAAATGTGATTTCTAAATATGGTCTGAGAATAGATTTTATGATGGTGTTTAAAATTACCTTTTGACTTATTTGTGAATAGTTCTCATCGTTGACCGGTGCCAGTTGTAGAACTTATGGAAACTGCTGGAATTTAAATACCTGTTTCATACGAGGTGACAAATAAGAAGCATTATGCAGTCATAACCCAGAAAGTGATTTAACCGCAAATATCCAAGATACCATTGAGCTATCGTACCACAAATCATTCATAACACATTTCGCAAATCCAGTCAGTTTGCTTTATTACACTGCGATTAATTAGTGCAACCAACAAAGATTGTCTCACTGTCAACTTAGTGGATGTTAATCATTTCGTTTCACTATCAGCTAACTTCCATTATTTGTTGTTAGCGTACAATATCTATGGTTCATTGAACTGACGAAGTCCAACAATTCATTTCATAATAAAAACATTTCAAGTTGAAGAGATTTTCACAAAATTAATTATAGTAAAATTA